AGAGAGAGAGAGAGAGAGAGAGAGAGAGAGAGAGAGAGAGAGAGAAGAAAGAAAGAAAGAAAGAAAGAAAGAAAGAAAGAAAGAAAGAAAGAGAAAGAAAGGGTCACTAGATTTTAGTATCAGTGAAACAGATTAGAAGATGTAGAAACAACTCCACATACACTTGACCTATATTATTAGTGTCTCCTAGATCAGTGAAAACAGAAAGTAAGTGCTAATATCAATTAGAGAATGTTTATGCCTCTATCTCGTACTCTAACTAACTACTTTGAAGATTACACTATGCAATGTATTAACTATTGTTAATCTCCTATTGTCCTATTATTTTTTTGAAATTTTGTTTTACTTTTTCCATAAAATAAAAATATTTAATAACAAGTAATACATTGACTTTCCAGCCAAAGATTAAAACTAGGCCCATGATTATCACCATGTACTCAACTAAAGTTTAAATGGATCAAAGATCTAAATTTGGTGGAACATAGAATAGACTAACCTCTTGAAAATAGATATAAGAAAAGATATATATCATTAAATATCTATTAAAAATAGATATTTCCCTTGTTCATTAGGGTTTCATGAACAAAACCCCCATCACAAGGGAAATAATACAAAAACACAAATTCTTCTTTTTAAAATAATTTTATTGAGAAACAAATATCAATGAGACAGTTTCAAAACCAATTAGTAGGACAGTTTCAATAATTAATACATTGCATATTGTTGTCTTCTTAGTGGTTATTCATTGTACAAGATGCAGACATGATATCCCGTCCACAAACACTTTCTATTCATTGAATTAAGAGAATGTAGCTGCATATCTATCGTATTTTGAATATAAAGATACAAAATGGTTGTTTATTTGTATCCCTTTTTTTGTTTAGTGTTGGAATACCCAGAGAAGGGTATTCCATTATCATTTAAATATTATAGGTGCTTGAATTCAGCAAAATATTCCAATATAGTCCAATAGTCCATAATTCCATAAGACTGGCAATGTCAGAAGTTGTTGATTTGAACATTTTACAGCTCACCATATTAATATGGCTTTGCTTTTTATACTTCGTTTTTATACTATTTTGCTGGATGGTTAAGACTAAGATGAAGCAAAACCTATATAACAAGAATTTTAGCTTTTGTATCTGATAAGGTCAGTCAAATCCCCTCAGGATTTATCCTGAAACCTTGTACCACAGTTTGTAGATCCTTTGTCAGTGTCAGCCATGTAGATGAGTCACGGCCATTGCTTGACCAATTTGATCTCTGTGAAAGCCTGAGAGAATGTTTTCTATCCATGTGACTCTCCTTAGGCACATTCTACATCATCAGTCACTTTCCTCTGTGGCACCATAATCTCCTAGATCAGAAAATCTGGGACATAACTGAGTTACATGATGTTATAGTTTAGGTTCTCCTATGTCCTGAGTCTTCACTGACCTTGAAAGGTTAGGGTGAAAATGTTGGCTGTCCTGGCAGCCCTTTTTTCTGTAATTTTTGGTCCCCAAACTTAGATTGTTAACCCTCCAGAAGAGAAGCTTATTGTTAGTACCCTACAATGCAGGCATTGATCTTAACCTTACTATCTATCTGAATATCAAACATGGAACAGGTATTTTCCATAAAGTATTGATATGTTAAACTTTAAGTCCCTACAGAATATGAAGAGATTTTTTTTAAAAAAAAATAGGAATAAACAATTACATATTTTTACACAGAAGTTTAGAAATCTAACCATATACAGCATTGTAGCAGGACAGCCCTGAAAACCAAATTCTTCAGATAAAAACTTTTTGTCAAATGTTAAATTTTTGACAATGTACTATTGGCCAAGTTATATTATGCTGTCATTAAAAAACAAAACAAGTTATCATTACTTTAAAAGAGAGGAACACACCTAGAAATTCAAAACTAAAAGCACAGATGCATTCAACTGTAAAATAGATTTTGGTAGTTTCATTTTTCCTTCTATTTAATGCTATGTTCTAGTCTAATACCACATATATTTGCCTCCAAATTCCTACATCAAATGTTCACTTTGTATGAAATACTAATATACATATTTGTTGTTGTTATTATTTTTAGAAAAGCCCTGTGGATATCCTGGAGATACTCCCTTTGGTTCTTTTCAGCTTGCAGTAGGAGATCAGTTTGAATATGGTGCAAAGATTGTTTATACATGTGATGTGGGGTATGTGTCAATACAAAACAAGTTAATAAATAGTAACTAGGAACTGTACTAGATTTTATTTTTACATAACTGTATTGTCTAAGAGCATTTATAAAATAATGCACTTGGGAAAAATTAAACAATGTACTGTAAATGATGATATTTAGATACCATGTTATCTCTTTTGCATTTAAAAATTAAAAGAAGCTAGAATTACTCTGGCATGATATTGTTGTCTTACGCACATGTGTAGGTGTTCATCCAACTATTCTTTATTACATGCTCAGAGTGCTAGGAGAAATTCATTTGTTAGAGACAATAAGAATTACAATAAAATTAAAGTGTATGATAACTACATTCATAAAACTTTATAAAATTTAGGGGAAGCAAGCATTTTACTCACTTATTATATATGGTTCCATGGTATGCAAACTATTCTTACCACAGAACCGAAACTGTGACCCTTAGAATCATTGACTCTATGCCTTCTAATCAACCACTGGGCTTTTATGACTGTTCTCATCAAGGTATCTCCTCAGTGTTCCTTCTCTGATACTCCTCGCCAGGTCAAAAAATTTATTTTTAAGGAATTTCATACATGGGAAAACTAGGATCATATCATTATAATTTTATACTACATAAATATCAGACTTATGCTGGTACAAATCACATCTTGTTATTCTTCATTTATTTCTTCAGTTGTGATGATAATATGTAATATTTTAAAGATCAGACTCTTGAGTGAGTCTGAATATAACCCCAATATAAAATATTCACATGTACTTTTAAATTATTGCCTCACTCCCACTTCCTCTCTTTAAAAGAAGAGACATAGTGTGTGCATCATGATATTGAGAACAGAAAAACATGAGACCCAGACCTGAAGCCCTTAGCAAAGATTCCTAGCATTTTACACACCTAATAAATGTGAGATTTTATAAATGTAGTCTCTCTTTGGTCATTACTTAAGGGATTTCTTTCCCAATTTTTTCAAACATGTTTTCATCACAACTTCCCTTGCTACTGCTGAGCTTATCATGCACAACCAGACAGTTTAAGAGGACATGGGCCTGAACTTTCCATTGTTTCCTCTCTTCACCACTGAAATATGCATTTCAACTGGGAGGGTCTCCTCACTTTAAGGTTCACCTTGATGTGACATAATCAGATGTGGCTAAAACTCATAGACATCTTCATCTTGATTTCCCAAATTTCAGCAATTAATATTTACAGTTTCATGAGGAAATTCACTATACTCTTGTCTTTGATTGTTGCTTGCTATGATTAATCTTTACTCCCTTCACGGGATATAAACTATGAGCACATTCTGATGTAGTCCTACCATGAGAGTAATTGCCTCCATGCTTGACTTGGAACTCCAGAAGGACTTTGTAAGTTCTGTAGGTTATTTAAAATTTCATCAAGTAGATGCTTTTCTGTAGCTGAGAGGATGGCCCACTGTAGATTCTGATAGTGCAACAGATTTTCTATAACCACAATTTCTACCAATCAACTTTCCCTTTTTAATCTCTGGCCCTCACTCATTTTTCCTTTACTTCATTCTAAGCATTTAATATAATATTCGATATGGATTTCTGGTTTTGTTGTCCAACAGCAGGACAATTTTGCAAAGCCAATTGAAAGTTTTTTTCTGGTATTCTGCATGTCTGGGTTACAGAAATGTGAACCACTACTTTTCCCAAGCCAACATACAGCCAAAAAGCTCTTTTCTGCCTCCATATACACAGCCCCTAGGAGGCTTTGTGTGGAATCTTGCAGAATATCCAAAAGACCTTTGGGAATGGGTGGGTCTGATGTGGATGGAAAATGTTGGACAGGAAATCTGCTCTCCATATTAGAAGACAAGAACTTCTTTCTAGTAAAGGAGCTAGAGAATTATCATAATAATCAATTGTTTTTCTTCTCCACAAAGCATAGGGTGAAATGCTGGAAAATTTAGTCTATTGAAATGTTGTCTTACCTTGTAGAACTAAGCATAAATCAAGAACAATGAAAGAAAGACAAAGCATTTTTTGAAGAATGCTTATTTGTGCAATAAACAAAACAATCTTTATTTGCAAATGAAACAGTTACCTATGTAGAATCACTTGCAGCCTTCTTTTAAAAGTAAAAAGGAAAGGGCAATCAGGAAGGAGGAAGGGAAAAGTGGAGAAATTATAAAAAGAGATAAGAGGGAAAAGAAAAAAGTGTTAAAGAGAAGAGGAGGAAGAAAGAAGGAGGGAAGGAGAAAAGGAGGGAAAAATAAAGAAATTTAGGGGATTAGAAAAAAAGAAAGAGGGAGAGAAATCAAGGGAAAGAGAGAAGGGAAACAAATGAAAGAAGGAAAGAGGAGGAAGAAAATGCATACGCTTTTAATTTCCATGAAATGCGGTGTCTAAAAGATGTTCAGAACCCGGCTGGTGAGATAGCTCAGTGGTCTAAAATGCCTGCTTAGACAAGCTTAGGTAGGCGCAGGGGACCACGGTTTGATCCACAGTACCACATGCTGGGCCAGCCCTGCCTTCAGGGAGGGCTGAACCAGTCAAAAATATATAAAAAATAAAAGACATTCAGGATAGTACTGACTCTTAAAAATGCAATTGAACACTATTTTATTATGCTTTACTTTTATACTTTCAGCTATCAAATGGTGGGTGATATTAACTTCCGGATGTGTGATGCAGATGGCTGGACCAATGAAATTCCTATATGTGAAGGTAGATGTAAAATTGATTGACAAGTATACTTACGCTAATGATAAAATATCTTCAGGGTCTATAATTAAATATTTGTTATTCAAGCTACTTTTATGGCTTCTAATGCAAAGCAGAGTGCCTAATCATTTTATTAATACATCACCTTATGCTTTATTTTATTAATATATCATCTTAGATCCAGTATGAGGGCACGGATGGCAGCTGGGGTGGAGAATGATTGCCTAGCATAGGAAAAGCTTGGGGTTTCATGCTCAGCACCAACCCCCAGGGGAAAATATTCTGGCATCAGTATACCAAATGTGAATGTGACCCGATCCGATCTAATAATCAAAGTATTGGGTATTAGGGGATCTAAAGTTTTTTTCTTCCTTTCTTCATGGATTCTGGATGCTACAGATACACATAAACATCATTAGCTTAAAGTTCAGAATTTTGGTTTTTTAATGAAAGTCTCATCCAGCAATCATCCAAGTTCAGGGATGTATGGTAACAATGGGACGTGATCCATTGTGCAACATGGTTTTTTCATGGTCATAGTTTTAACAGAAAAATAAAAGGCAGGAATTGAGAGAGCTCTGCTCTACGAACATCAAGAATGAAGAAAACTATGCGTCTTGTTTTCAAGTTTTGGGCTACTAGTTCGTACTTGAATAACCGTACAATCAATCAGAATAGTATTTACTAGTTCCATGGTGAATGGTGATTGCAAAGAAAGGTTAAATAAAAGCAAGAAACATGTTAATCACCTAATAATAATTCTATCAACTAAAGAAAAATAAGGGATTTTTCACAGATGGAAATGAAGAGAGCTGTTCTACACATCCAAATTACTGGGGAGGCTATTTAAAACCTGAGATTTTGGGTCAGGGAGATAGCTCAGCAGCATAAGCACCTGCTTGGCAGCACAAGGTCTTGAGTTCAATCCCCAGTACCCCCCAAAAAAAGAAAGGAAGAAAAACTCTGAGATTGTTAAGGTACTGAAAAGGCTGAGTGAGTATCTCTGGGAAGCAGGAAAATAGCCCTAGAATTTCCATTGTAAAAACCGCTCAGGGGGGCCAGCCAAATAGCTCAGCGGATTAAAGCTCCTGCAAGCAGGCACAGGGGCTGGGGTTTGATCCCCGGGCCTGCCATGCCGGCCCCGCCCCTGGGGCACACTGAAACACCAATTGAGACTGGGCCTGGTGGCGAGCGCCTATAATCCCAGCTATTGGGAGGCTGTGAACAGGCGGATCACTTCAAGTCCAATCTAGTGGTGAGACCCTGAACACCCTGTAGACCCTTCCCCAAAATACAGAAAAAACAAAATCAGAGACTTTCTCCAGTAATGTAAAAGTTGAAAAACATAATTTTAGAGAATTTGAAAATATTAAGTAAAATCAGAAGAAATACTTAAACTATTTTGAACACTGAAGTTGAAGAGGAAATCGATACCAACAAAAGATTGGTTTTACATATTTTTTAGTGCAATGGTATATTATTCTGGGGCATAAGTAGAGATTTTATTTCATGATTCATATGTCCTAATTACTTGAGACACTTGTTACCATGAAAATACAAATTAATAAAGTCATAGGAATTTTACTGCCTACTCCCGTGAAAAGAATCCAAGATAAAATGTGCTAGTATTTGTGTTGCTTAACCTTTATCTCTTGCAAATAAGCATATGAAATTCTTCTAAAATATTTCAACACTTTCCTCCAGTCTTGTTGACATTTTTTGATGATAATGTCATGGGTCCAGTTTTCAAATTCTATTTAAAAAATTATATTTACTTTTCCAGTTGTTAAATGTTTGCCAGTGACAGCACCCGAGAATGGGCAAATTATCAATACCGTGGAACCTGACCAGGAATATTATTTTGGACACGTGATACAGTTTGAGTGTAATCCAGGCTTCAAAATCGAAGGACATAAAGAAATACATTGCTCAGAAAATGGTCTCTGGGATAATGAGAAACCAAAATGTGTGGGTAAGGTGTACCTCCTGTTTGTTTGTGTGAATATTTTTAGTTTTTCTCATGCAAATGCACACTTGAAAACATTAACACTTTACCCTCAGAACCACTGTATGAGTTGAGTTCTATACTTTTATCTTATTTTTTAAGGAAAGAAACTATGATGCAAAGTTAAATTACACAACCTGTCTTACCACAGCATAGTTGAGATTTAAGCCTAGTTTGTTACCTGCTGAGGGCATCCACGCTCTTACCACAGTTACCTTGTCCTTAGCTCTTAAAGGCAGAAACAGAACCTCGCACATTTCTACTGCAAGTTTTAGGACTGATCATCAGAAGAGATTTTTTTTTTAATTTTGAAAGTCAAAATTGATTCTATTTTCACCAGTCCCATAAGATGATATTCTATTTTTTATCAAAAAATAGTACATTTACCATAAACATGTCTTATGTGAACTGAGTCCACTAAATAAATCTATGTTTTTTATAAAAAGTCCTCTAATAATCTACAATCCACAATTTCTTCAGTTTCTTTAGTCATGATGGTCATTTCGGCATTTTGACCAATTGATGATTTGGTTTTTGGAATAAACTTATAGTCAACGTGTTTACCATTATCATGCTTTACTCTGCCATTTGTTTTTGTGCAAATTTTTTTTGTGTGCAAATTTTCTGTCATATTTATTTTTGTAAGATTATCTAAAAACTCCACATTATTCATGCTTTTTTATTATACTCTCCTTACAGAAGAAAAAAGGGTCCTCTTCCTAAGCACTCCCTCTAACGGGAGTTCTTTCATTGTGGTAATAATGATAAACTAATATTTATATTCACTGGAGCAAATATTTTACAATTTAGAAATTCATGGATGAAATTTATGTGTTTGCAACTAGATTTCCGTGGTTAGTGAAACCTTCCTGGGGCTGTTTATGTTTAATATAAGTTGTTCATTGTAATTGCTTTGTGTTTTTTAATTTGTTTGGGTTTTGTTTGTGGTTTTGTTTCCTTTTGTTTTGTTTTCTCGCCATATAGCCCAGGCTGACCATGAACTCAGAACAATTCTTCCTCTGTCTCCCAAGAACTAGGATAGCAGGGACAAATGAGATGTTTTCCAGAAGAAGATGGGGGGGGGGGGAGATGGCTCAGTGGAATAAGCGCTTCCCTGGCAAGCGCAAGGGTCTATTTCAAGTCCAGTTTCAAAAAAAAAAAAAAAAAAAAAAACACCAGAAGAAGATGAGGAAAGTGAAAACATAATGACCAGGAGGAGTGAATAGCGAAGAATGTGGAAAGACAGGCTTCAAGCCAGTTGTCATTGTCACAATTCCAGAGGAAAATATTTGAGAGAAATGATGTCAGAGATGATGGCCATTGCTCTCTTACTGTTTTTGACAGAAAACCTTCATGAATAGCCAAGACTCAACAGCAGAAAATCAGTTAGTTTTCAATAGGGAATAAAAAATTAATTAAATGAATTTTCTTTAAAAAATGTCTTGTCAACAATTATTGTAATCCATAACTAGAAAATGTGCCATTTTTGCAGGTCACACCATGAAAATACTTATTACAATGAACCTATATCTACATTCCACTTCACATACACATAAGATTACTGTGACTGACTGTCATTTATGTCAAGGGACCAATTTACCTTCAGATGCCATAAAATTAGAAACATAATCTTAATGAGAATTTTAGTTTCTTGAGAAGATAAATGTTAAGAGCAACAGATCAGTCATAAAGCAGTCAAGTCAGAACAGAACTTTTGCTTATCAGCTTTATCTGAGGCAAAAAAAGAAAATGTCTGGCATAACTTGGTCATAACATGGTGTTTTAATTTACAGTAAACATTTTATAAATTGAATTCTTTTTATTTAGTAATTTCCTGCATAGCACCACAAATTAGAAATGGATATTCCATATCTAAGAACACCATTTTTAAGGAGAATGAGAGATTTCAATACAAGTGTAACCAAGGCTTTGAATACAGTTCAAGAGGAGATGCTGTGTGCACGACCTCAGGGTGGAGTCCAGAGCCTGCTTGCGAAGGTAATGTCATTCTTGTTCTTTATCGCATTTGCTGGAAAGTTTATCAGTTACATTTATTTCTTCTTTTTTTGTGGTTCTGGGGATCAATCTAGGGTCTTGTGCACCCTAGCACTGAGCTATACCCCCAAACATGATTAATTAACATCATCCTTTTTAATTTAGTAGTGTATTATTTTCTCAGAAGTAGAATATCAGTTTTTATAAGAACGAGATATTATGAGCACAGTATTGTATGTTATAGAACTTTAAGTGTGTATGCTGATTGGTATGACTTTCACTTTTTGTATTGAAATAACCCAGTTACAAGCTTCAATATCTAATTCAGTAAGTAGGCCATGGCCACAAAACATTTCTGGAGTAGATCTAGAATTATCATAGAGTTGTTAACTTCCAATACTTTATAATTCTCATTTTGATTGCTCTTCTAAAGCTCAGAATTTAGCCCTTAAAAGTTAATTTCATTAATACATAGGGAAACCTGAAATTGACAATGAAATTAAGGAGAAGAAAGCAGAAAGGTTATTAACATTGACCTTACTATGAACCACTTTGACGGCGATGGCCTGAGCTCTCTTCCTTTGCCTCTGAAAAGATGTTTTGCAGATTTGCTCATGAAAAAGGAATCTGGAACATTTTAAAAGCAATAGCTTCAAATTATCATGACTTAAGAAAGAAAACAAAGATAGCTGAAGAATTTAAGAAATCATAGAACAGCAAGAAAATACAGCTATTGTGTAGTGATGACATTTGAGTTATTTGGAGACATTTTGGAAGAGGAGTGAGTTTACTTTTGATGAGGCCCACTGCAGTGAGTGACCTAACAGACTCACATTAGGTCATAGAGTAGGGACACAAAGACAGGCTGTTCTAGATCTTGCCAAAATGTGGGGACAAGAAGAGCTGGACTCTTTAAGAATCTTCTGAATTTTATATCATATGGAACATACTTACATGTATAAGTCATGCCTTATTTACATTCTTTTACAAAAATACAGTTAAATTTTAATTGATTTTTACATGTTATAAACATATACATAGTTCCTTAGAAAATGTCTTACTGCACACTGAATGATCTTTATTTTTGGTATTGTTTAAAAAGGCATTTGTGGTTCCTAAGCAGAGGAACTATATGCTCAAGTTTCCTGGTATCATGCTTCATTGTGTTTTATATCCACTGCTCCCCTTAAAGAAGTAGTAATTCTTTCATCCATCCAAACATCAAAATACAGGGCCTTGTCTTATCAAATGGATGAATTTTGCAATAAACTATCACCCCAACATTCAATTAATTCAAAGTAAGGCTTTGGGGATTCAATGTGTATGATTTAGTATAAAATGACTGGTGTAGTTTTATTGAAGTCATCCAATACTTTTATTTCTTTTACATGGTAATTTACCTACCTACTTAAAATTCTTGGTCAGAAAATACTTTTATTCAAGATGGAAAATCTCTGATTTCCTCAGAAGTATTACTGCAGGACCAAGGCTTCCTTTTCTAGAACAGTCAATTCATTCCTCTACCATCACACACACACACACACACACACACACACACACACACACCCTAAAGACTACATCTTTATAAAATATGTTTTTATTAGATTGTTTTGTAATTTCTCAATAATAGGTACAAATCGAACTTGAACAGTTTAAGACTGAATTCTTTAAGGTCTTGGATTTTTGCAGGGGAGGTGTTTCATGAAGCAGACATACCACAACAAGGCCTTGGTGTCAGCTATTTTTTAAAAAATTTGTTAAAATTCAGTATAAACAAAGACATTTATGCCACATTAGATAAACATGTACTCTCTTTTACAATATGCTGCACCTTATTGAAATGCACTTTAAATTAACTAAATGTAGAGAAGTATTTTATTAATGAGTACTCTATTTTCTGTGCTCCACTAAGGTGTTAGCAAAAACTAGTCTTTGTTTACTTGGTATGATGCAAGCATCTACCTGCTGATATAGGATGAACTAGAAATCGATATGCCTTAATTTCCCAGGAATAATAAAATTTAAAATACTGTATTATATCCAAATTTATAAGAAACTTGTAAATTGGTAATAGAATTTAAATGCAATGTGGTAGTACAAATTAATTAAGTTGTCCACCATATCATCCATGGCATGGGTGTGGCAGTGCTTTTCTTGTTTTGTTTTGTTTGGTTCTGATTTTGAGTGAATTATAAAACATTCATCTCTGTATCTAGTAGAGGATTGTCTTTCTCAGGAAATCATTTTCAATAATAACTAATGTACCAATATGTGTTAAATAAAGTTCCTTATGACTGAAGTCTATCTATTCCTTCAACAAACTGTATTTTTATCAATTTACCCCAGAGAATGCTGAACTTGCATAGTATTCTTACTTCAAATTTTTAAGAGTAGGAAAAACTATAGCACATGGTCCTGAGTTCAATCCCTGGAACTACCAAAAAAAATCATTAGAAACAATACAGAATTTCACTAAACAAAATGATATAAATTCCATAATACTTGTTGTATTGCATTATGTTGGGTTCAATTAGATATAAGCATGCAAAATTAGGAAAAAAAAAGTATTAAGAAATGAAAAAGAAGAAAAAAATTAAGTATTAAATGCTCCTTTCCATAGATCAGCAGAAATCAGCAGTACAATTATCCAAGCCATCCCCACATACATACAGAGATATAGCTCTTTCCTCCTCTCCCTCTCTCTTGTGTCCTTCTCCTCATCTCAATATTTCCTTTCCTTTAAATAGGTTCTTTCCCCTTATACAATATCTGTTGTACCTTTCAGATTTTATTTACTCTTTCAGGTTCTTAAACCAGTAAGATAATAAGATGTTTGCATATGCATGGTTTATTTTACTTAAATGTATGATCTCTAGTTGTATCCATTCACCAATAAAAGTCACAAATTTATTCTTTTTTTATATCCAAGTAATAATCCATTGTGTAGATATACCACATCTTATTTATCCATTTCTCAGTCGATCAGCATTTGAGTTGTTTCCAAGGTTTAGCTATAACAAATTGCACTTCTATGAACATGAGTTCACATGTATCACTGTGGCATCATGTTTCAGTTCTGGAAAAATACTCAGGAGGGGAATAGCTGGGTTGAATGGAACCTCTAATTCTAGCTTTTGAGAAATCTCCACACTGATTTCCATAGTGATTATACCAATCTACACTCTGACCAACAGTGGAGAAAGGTTTCTTTTTCCCCATGACCTCTCCAGAATTTGTTACTGGTTGTCTTCTAGATGATAGACATTCTTTCTGGGGCTGGATGGAATCTCAGTGTTGTTTTAATTTGCATTTCTTGAATGACCAGTGAGGTTGAACATTGTTTCATATATTTATTTGCCATTTGGATTTCTTCATCTGAGAAGTGTATATTCATCTTAGATGCCCATTTTTTTTATTGGGTCTTTAAATTTGAGGGGGTTGATTTCATTCTTCATATGTTCCAGATAGAAGGTCTTTGTTAGATGAACAGTTGACTACCAGTTTGTTTGTGTGTTTGTTTGTTTGTTTGTTTCCCAGTTGGTATGTTTTCTTTTTACTCTGTTGAAAATTTCTCTTGAGCCCAGTCCTAGCCCAGGTCCGGTGAGTGTGCGGAGAGTTTCCTGCTACCCTGCGCCGGCGGGACCAGTCCCAGCCCAGGCGCAGCGTGGGCGGGACC